AGAGTACTGATATGTTCAGAAATCATACGACATTTGACCGTTTAAAAGCAAAGAGAAAAAAGTACTTTAGTTTGTGAGACCTACCAAAAAGCTGAAACACGATCACTGGGGTAAAACTAGACAGGAACGCCATATATGCGCTAAATTCATTCTTTAATTCTCTCTATATCTGTTTATGCATCACTTTTCCTCTCGATAGTTGCCTTATAGCTGATCGAAAATCGGAAAACTTGTATCAGTAAGAACTAATATTATTTCGGAATAAGTTGATACTGTGAGACAACAAGATACTGACGGCCAAACCACACATAACAAACAGCATGCGAAGAGAACGGCTGCTAAACACACACACAACACTGTCAGGGTCGACAACAGGAACGTAACAATATGTTTCGATCGTTCATCATAAGTGCACATCATGCATCGAAAACAATACGCATATAAGAAAGCACAGCGCAATAAATCACAACAGCAATGCTGTATGTGCTGTACAGAATAATCCAAGTGTTGAAATTCACTACGAAACGCGAACGATGTGAATTAGTGAGGGATAATACCTCGTCGAGGAGATGACGAGATGGGTAGCGAACCCTGGCGGCGGCGGCGGCGGCGGCCAGCTGCGGCAGAACGCTTCGACCCTGCTTTACAAACTCTACACGCATTCGCGAGTTCGTATCATTCTTGTCTGACGTTCGCTCTCAGTGTTTTCACGAAACGTTTATACCGTTCGTGTTATAGAAGAGAACACATAAGAAACGAGTGATTAGAAAAAGAGATTTTATTTAACAATGAACAATAAACACAGTTAACGCATGCATTGCTGGGTGCTGTTGAGCGCAGTCAACAGACAATACATGAAGAATCAGCATGTTTCGATACGAGTTTTGCAGCAGAGAAGTGCACGACATGGACTCAAATGAAATCCGCCGAAACTGGTTACGGTTTCTTGCGATGGACACAGTGCAAAACGCTATGCAACATAAAACGATTACGTCACATGTTTGTGTCATACCTGAGAGGAAAAATAACGAATCACATCGGCAATTCGATAGGCATGGAAAAACTTGTATCCTCTATATTTTACGCAATCAATGAGTGACTCGAATCCGTGCCAACAACGTTTCCATTCGTCGGTGACACACTTGCGAGTTGTCCGATAGGCTATATTCGTTCGGCGAACGAACACGCGAAGCATCACATGTTTCGTGTTGCCATACATTCATACTGTTTTTCGACAATGTGAAAATATTATTTTTCCAGCCATGTGAAAAAAACGGGTTTTGTTGTGAGCGGCCCAGACATACTCATCGAGGGTACTCCAGTAAATAAACAAATAAATAAATAAATAAATAAACAGATAAATAGGGCAGTAGACAGTAGAACGATATTATATATATATAAATATATCCAAATTTTTGGTGGAAAGCTTAGATCGAAAAATATGACTTCAAGTAGTGCTTCGTTGACAACTTGCAACATCAGTACAGTGGCCTGTGTGACGATCACGACAGCTTTGCAAGAGCTTATAGTCATATTGACGGTAGTTGACACTAATAAATAACGCATAAAAAAACTTGAGACATTTTGGTGTACATCGGCTGATAGTTTTGTCCTAAATGAATATAGCCCATCCTCAAGGCTTCACAAGTCGCCAGTGTTTTAATAAACTAGCAACAAGAATATGTGAAAAAATCATGCGACACTAACTGCAACTACCACACATAAATCAGCTACAAGAGGCTGTAGCGTGTTTGCATTTCGAAAACGAAAGCGCAAGTTGTTCGATGAAGAACTTACGTAGACGACGCTGACAACACAACCTTGAAACCGGCGTGGGGGGAAAGGGGGAGTGATGAAGCGAACGAACTACTGGCAAATTGAGCGTCGAAATTTTAAACAGAAAGGACGGAGAGAACAGGGAGACCGTTTTCGGTACGGGCCGTTCGATAGGAAGGTATGTCCACGTATGCGCCGCTACCATCGTATTCGCAGCTGGTGACGAGATGGAGCGAGGGATGGTAGGATGTGAAGACAGGATGTCAACCACCACAAGTTCTTTGCTGTTTCACTGAGTCCGCTTTTTTTTCTTTTTGTTCTCTTTCAACTGCGTAAATGAGCCTCACGATTGCAGATGTTCACACGTTTTTCCTAGTGATGGAATTCTTCGCAAATGGAGCGCGTACAAAAAGAACTCTACCGATTTCGACTGTCAATAGTTCGTAGAAAAAATTTCTGCTCGATCCGAAATACAGAGACTAAAGTACTATCATTTGCATGCTCATCGCAATCTATATCTGGCATTCGCCATTCGATCTCTGGGCAATATACAGACATTAGCACACTAGGATAAAATATACTGATTATATGCTACCATAACATAACGTTCTTACAATGAACACGATATACAGACATTCATGTTGTAAGTTCTGCGCCTCTTGTGTATAGTGTGGATGTTCGTATACTTGTGCTTTAGCGTGCATGTAAGTGCGTATCTATACGTGTATGGTTGTGTGTAAACGTGGATGAAGTACACTGTGTGTGCATTCGTGTGTTTGTGTGTGTGTATGTGTATGTATGTATGTATGTACGTATTTATGTATGTACGTACGTATGCATGTATATATGTATGTATGTATGAGTATATGTATGTAAGTATGTGTGTGCAAGTATGTATGCATGTATGTATGTATGCATGTATGTATGTACGTATGTATGTATGTATATATGTATGTATGTATGTGTATATGTATGTACGTGTGTATGTATGTATGTATGTATGTATGTGTGTGTTTATGTGTTTGTATGTGTCGTTCCAAGGCTGTCCTTACTGAACGTTTTTCATCGATTCCAATTCCAACAAAGGAGAACGACTGGCGCGGAGGACTTGGCTGTTCGTTAAAAAAGCGCTCGCAACACTAGTGACTACGTCCACATGTGGCGTTGCTATATTATCGTCACAAAATTTGTTTATCGAAGACCTCCTTTCCACTCCTTTTTACCATCGGCTTTTTCTCCTTCTTTCATTCCACTCCTCTTTTTCTAATTATGAAAACCGCAAACTATATATATATATATATATAACCTGAAGAACCTTGAGTGATTCTCCTCCATACTCTCATGAAATTGAGCCTGTAAAATGTGAGTTTGCAAAAGAGCGTTCATAAAACCGATCCATGAATTCAGAGGAAATCTACCTTTGTCGAAAGCCAATCGATGTCAATACAGCGGGATATTGGCCAGAACAAATAATTCACTCAATACATGCATGGAAAAACCTCTAATAATAGATAAAGAGAGAAGAATGATCATATGAAAATTTTACTCACCATCAATGCTCGTAGTATCAGTTCAAGTGACATGAAGAGAAGTGAATAGACAGACGTTAACAAAGTAACGTGCTCAGTTGATTTCAGTAATAACGTTGACTCTTACAACAAAAACAGGCGAAACGACACAGTGTCGAGAGTCGCAGAAAACACTGAGTTCAGTTTTATATATGGGATGCTGCAGCGTTGGCCTTGAGAGACGAACGCATTGTGGTTAGGGTAGCCCAAGGACACGCCACTTTCCGCTTTTGACAGATATGCTAGCACAACGTTAGAGGAACAATGACAGGACATCATCAAAACACAGACGAAAACATTAATAAACGTGTGCATTTAACAGCTCATCATCTAACTGATCTCATTCGACTTATGATTTATCGCAACACACTCACCAGGAAGAGAATCTTGAACTTACTTCTTCGTCGACGCATATATTGGGCGGTGGTGTCATCGTTTCATTTGTGTCGTCTGGCTCACGTTTCAGTTTTTTCATCGATGTGGCAACGTCCGACGTTGCAGCTTCTTCCTCTCTGTTTGAGTGATGAGTGTTAAGTACGGCTGGCGTTGGCGCCTTTGAGGCGTCACGCTCCAGCTCTATTTTGTTTCTTTTTGGAATATCGACAGTTAACGGATTTATAAACGATGTTGCTATTATACACCCGTATACAACAGGTGTTCCCTGGGTTCCCTGAAAATATCAGCTCCAACAGCAACAAAAGGATGTCGTTAAAAAGCCGCAGCATTTAATATCGACTCGAACCTTTAAACGCACCTTACACGTCGAATGTAACGTGAACTCTGGTGTAGGCGACGACGTCTAGATGGAATCAATGACGCTTTAGGATTTTTGTTAATGCGTAAGTTTAGTGCTGGACTACAGACAGGACGATTACTTGCTCACTTAATCACGTTACTTGATTCCTTGTGGTTCTCCTCCTTAATTCAGACCAACAATAATCATAAAACTGTAGGAATAATGGTGACCAGACGTTGTGATGTGACCGTGATGTTCCGAGTCCTCAGTCAAGCGATTGAAACTCGGATTGTTGAGGTTCTGAAATCGTCAGTGATCATCGAAGCTCCAATGATGCAATGTCTAACGTAGTATTAACAGCAATACATAGCTCACATACAGCGAAATAAATCAAAAAGGAAGAAAAATACTAGTCGATGTAGTATCTGACACAGCTACCTATATAGCATTTCCACCATCTGCATTACGGCACAAATTTTGGCTATCAAATGAGATCGAGATATATTCTAATCAAAGTTGGTGCTAACAAACACCAGACAAATGTTATCAGCATGCTGAGAAGGAATAGTGTTGTTCTCAGTACCTCGACATTCTCACAATTTCCTTCCCTGTACAGTTGTGTCGCAGTTCTTGTATTACATTAACGAAACCATATCGAGAGAACAACACAGCAAAAACGAATACCACTGAGATAGAAGACGGACCGGATGATATATTGAAAAGTAACGTATTTGTGCGTTAAAATCTGAACTTTTTACGCTAAGTAATCTCATTTAAAATCGCGAAGATGCAGATGACGCGCGAGCGGCGGTGGCGGCGGCGGTGGCGGCGATTGACACGCGCAGTCGCTCGGCGATGGCGATGGCGCGGAGGCGATAGTGCGCGCGAACGCCGTTCGCTGATAGGTAGGGGTGGTGGCGATGGGCGGGCGGGGAGCTATGCGTCGCTGGCTCGTTTATCTACGGCGAAGCGATGCGACACCGTGCAACTTGTCCGCGAGACAAGCGACGGCCGGATATTTTAGTTGCGTGCCGATGTGCGAATGCGATTGCGAGTGCGTCGTCAGTCCTGTGTGTGTTCGCGGAGCAGTCGTGCCTGCTAGTGCTGGCTTCTCCCGCGTTCTCCTTGGCGCTCATGCCTAGCGCACTCTCATCGTGGTGAACGCGTCACACACCCCATATGCATAGTGTTAGCAGAATGCTTTTCATATCAGCAATTACTAACGCAATGAATGCGATAAGTTTATATGCGAAAAAATCCGAACAAGGTCAAATTCTATTGTTTTAGTATGTAGCAAGGGCGCGTGTAGCGCAGTGCTCGGAGGCGCCCTGCAGTACACATGGGATCGATACCCGGGTCCGTGGCTCACCAAACCTTCAATTCCTCCAGGTACGGCAAAATGGTACCAGACTTGGTTAGGAGGATAGAAGGACTGGCTCAATACATCGGTAGGCCACCGCGACTCATTGGAAAGGCTAGATGTGCATTCAGTCATCTCCAGCGATGCTTAATGAAGTCGAATCTATGGCGCATCTCACAGGGGATGATCAACGCCGAGAACTCTATCCTTTATTAAATACCACGTGTCCTTTCTTATCTGATAAATTGTGTAACGCCTAAAAATACGTTATGATACACACGTTATTCCGGATTACGTCTAGGCAATCGTATTTCACCTTTAGAACTATGGAATTTGAATAAGTAATGACAGACAATGCATTCAGAATTGTCGATCCATACATCGTTGTAGCCATAGCAATCAGAATCTAAATTAGGCTTATCGCTCTTGACAACTGCATTATCGATTTCGAAAAACTATTGCCAGGTCAATTAAGGTCGAGCATGCGATTGAATCCATAGAACAAATTTAGCGCAACCAACAGCTGTGAAATAAGCGAGCGCTAGCTCATCTGGGCAGACGCGATCATCCGAGACGGGGAGCACCCATGAAAATGAAAAGCACGTAAAATGGAAATTATTACATTTCATACATTTTTTTCTGGCTATCCAGAACAGAGTAAGAATAACTACTTATCCCGTAACTTTCTAACTTTCTTTCTCGAAACGATTAATGATGAATAAAGGAGGATGGTCTTAAAGAAACGTCTCACTCCATGCAAAATGTGCCTTCAATACGGAAATAAAAGTTAAACATCCTTTTTCATTTGTTCGGGCCATCGTATACAAGGAAAGCTAATCGCAAACAAAACCCTGCATAACACTATCCAAGTCAATACACATTATGTTAATAATAGTAACTACAATAAAAAATTGAATAATTAAACATAAATATATCTAATTATAATTACAATTAGGTAGAAAACACAGTTTTAGTCATTGGTTAGCGTGGTAGAATTACTAAGAATGAATAAGAGTAGTAATATGAGGCCCATATAGCGCAGAGGTTAGACGTGCCCTGCAGTATACACGTAGCTGCTGGTACGATCTCGCACCTGAGCAATCGAGCTCTTAATCCTTCACAGATTAGAAATTTGATGCTAGATGTGCTTGCGAAAACTTCGTTCACTCCAAAAAGGCTGATGATTGCCTGTGGCAAACATTTGGGATCACCCTGGCACGGCTGCCCCAGGATTCCACGATGGATCGACTCCATCAGCATCCAATGACATTAAAAAGAGCAAAAATTCTCAGGCAGTAATCGAATCCACATGTAAATTTTAACAATTTCATGTATGACGAGTAGTAGAAAGCGAAATGAGTGAAAGAAGTGTCAAGGTTCGCGCAATATGTGGAGACGGGGTACACAAAAGTAAGTGAATAAACACTAACAATATAATGAACACCCCTTTCTGGGAAGAAAATTGTCTCAACAGTATCATAGCAAACTGGTTTTTATATAACCTCGCCATGAATATGAAATGAACCAATGTTCCTTGTTTTATTGATAAGCTAACATGAGGTTGTTACCAATCATTTGATCGGCTAACGTTTGGACGTCTTCGTCCTCATTCATCAGAGCCCATGACCCGAGCCGACGAACCAGGGACCCTCATCTTCTCTCTACATGGTGTCTTCGTCATCATAGCAAATTGGATCTTCTTCAGTGAAGGACGGCTCGAATGAGGGATCTTCAAACGGCAGCGCTCTCTTATACAGGACGGTTGTTGTTGACAATGACTATTCATTGGTCATTATTCCTCGACAGATAATCTATCCTAATACAATCTCGTGTTAGCGTATCAATGAAATAAGAAACATTGATCATTTATACCGAAATTACATAAAAGTCAGTTTACAACGATATCACTTCGCTACATGCAAGCTTATCTAATACAGACTGCTGCAGGATGGATTATCCGTTGAAAAAGAAACTATTATCAATGGGAAATCACTAGCAACAACAAACATCAAATATAAAACAGCGCTGCCGGGTGACACTGCCCAATCGACTGGCGCTCCACTGCAGATGATCCGACTCGATACCACGACGAAGACCCCATATAGAGAAGGTGAATGAATGTGGATCATCATATCGAAAGTACGAACGACTGTCGGTCACTGACTCAGATCATCAGCTCTGATGAAAGCGAAGACGTCAAAAAGTTAACCGAATAAGTAATTGGTAGCAATTTGGTGTTATACACAATTAAGACGACGCTGAGATATTTGCAAAACTCCGGACCGCAGGTGTCTGCGACGGGGAACGAACGCGTTATTGTCCTTTTCGGGGGCTAACGCGTTCACCACCACACCATGCGGATCCTTCGCTTCGCCTGTCTCTAAGTTAGTTCTATCGATCTTTTGCCGTCAACAATCACCCGTCAACGGGATTGATCTGGGGAGCCCAAATTGGCATTGAACCCAGTTAAGCTGAGGCTATAGCTATAATAACTCAACCTTTTTATTTACTGCCTATTCTTCTTAACGGCAGGGTTTGTTGCGAAATATAACTTCCATAATGCTGAGATATTTGCAAAACTCAGGACCGCAGGTGTCTGCGGTGGGGAACGAACGCGCTATTGCCCTTTCTGGGGAGTAACGCGTTCACCACCACACCATGCGGGTCCTTCATTTCGCCTGTCTATCAGCTAGTTTTATCGATCGTCTCCATCAGATTGTGATTATAAGCCACCACACCAGCCTCAGCTTAACTGAGCTCGTTGCGATTTGGACTACCCAGATCAATCCCGCTCACGGGTGACTGCTCATGGCAAAAGATGAATAGAACTAGCTGAGATATACGCGAAACGAATGACCTGCATGGTGCGGTAGTGAATGCATTACTTCCCGGAAAGAACAATAGCCCGTTCGTTCTCCATCTCAGACACCTGCGGTCCGGAGTTTTGCAAATATCTCAGCATGGTCTTAGTTGTATTTTACATGATACCCTGTTGCTAAAAAATATAGTAGGCAGTAAGTAAAAAGGTTAAGAATCTGGTGTTAGTTTATCAATGAAATAAGGAACATAGCTCAGCAATATATCAGTTTTCATTTCCTCTTTCACTGAACGAAAAAAAGAGATATTGATTAGTAGGCGTTGTTATGCATGAGGCTTCGTAGCGGTTACTGCTATTCATAAATATACAACATCTCACAAAAGCTGTCTACTCAACTTCTGCTCTTGATTGTTCTCTAATCTATTTTTACTTGTTTGCTTTTTACTGTTTCTTTTTCAAAGCATTTCTTCTGGGCCTCAGCAGTTCTATTTAATCAGCGACGATTTATCATCTGTAATGAATGGAAAAACTAAAAGTGTACCACTTTGAAAGACCAGTGTGTACATTAAGATTTCTTATCGAACTGACTGCGGAACGCTTAGCCCATCGCACAAAAAGCGCCTACTCTGATTGCACAAGTGCTGTTTCGACTCCTCTGCCAAAGCTAAAATATATGCATGACTTCTTCTCCGTAACTCGTTACACTTCTACATTCATTCCGTCAATAAATCAATGTATTTCAACGAGTTTTATTAACTAATTGTTCAGACGTTTAATTGAAGGATAGGAATAGCATGGAGTGTTAATAGACAAAAGTGTGGAAGGAAAGGAGCAATGAACTCTGAGAAAAGTACGGAAAAGCATAGAGGATAGAAGCAGCGAAAATTTGGAGAATCAATTAAATCATGATTACGGCAAAGTTTGACAAATAGAAATCTGTTTATTTAGTTTGTCATTTTTTCTTCTGAAAGCGCTAAAGTGTCAAAAACTAGTGAATGAAATTTCGGAATCGGGGCAAAAGTGTCTTTAACGGGCTAAGTGAATACACCGATAGAGAGCGCACGACCTAATGAATCAGTAAAGAATCAGATGAAGGCATTGATAAATGAAATTGAGAGAATGAAAAAATAAAGTTCTACCACAGATATCTGGGGGAAGGAATGTGCAAAATCTGATGAAAAATGAGAAATAGAGAACAGATTTCTAGAGATGATATGGGCACGACGAGAGAAAAATCCTCGCAAAAGTGCAAAATCGATACACTTGCACTTGCCGCACACAGCGACGCACACACGAATGGGCTGACTGCTGGTTGGACGGCTGCATTTGCTGGCTGGCTCGCTGGCTCGCTGGGTGGGTGGGTG